GACTGCCAAAAACATTTGAGTATTCATATTGAACAGAAATCCGTTTTCAGATTTGATAACCTGTTCTAAGAATTTTTTATCGAAACGACATTTGTTGTGCTGAATAAAACCATTATTATTATTATTATTATTATTATTATTATTATTATTATTATTATTATTATTATTACTATTATTACTATGATGTTTTTAGTGGCTCGTTGATTTGACTCCAAGATCGTACGAATGGTTGTTATCGTCTTTTCTCGTATATAATCGTCGACTTACATCACGTTAGTCAATAACGGAATTAAATAAGTCAAATAACGAGAATTGACTTGAGAATACATATATTTTGTATATGAAGCGAATGAAACATAGCAAAGCAAATCGACACGTATAGAAGATGGCCGGGAAGCCAACTTCATTTTAGTCAAGCGTTACTCAATATTTATAGTCAGACAAAAATAAACTACAGACATGTGATTAATGGGATAAGAAGGGCACACACATATACGCTCATATAAAAACAGTCAAGACTGATAAGCGAATAAATTGACAAGGTCAAAATATGACTGAAGTAGAATGAATAGAATGGAATGTCCGAAAGCTAGAATAAGGTATATGGGCTTAATATAATAACTGACACTACATGTTTATACAGCCAACGATGTAAATGAATTAATTTTCTAATTGATAACTGAAAAACTATCTCATTCCTAATGCTGAAACAATTCCTAGTTTGGCTACTAAACCAAATACAATTGAAGATCATATCATATTTTATAACACAATGTAATGAGAAGAGAATACACTCACGGAAAACAATCTTGGATTCCCCTTTAAATTATTTTCAAGTTCATAGAAATTAAGATTTTTTCAATAAAAAAGAAAGGATTTAACTTATATAGATAAAATGCGAGATCAAAGCAATCATCGTTTAAGAATAAGATCATATTTATTATAATGTTGTGTTCATATAATCTTGACTATGCGAGATATCATAACCAATCATGTAGGTTTCTTTATGTACTCTTGTGTGTGTGTGTATGTGTGCGTGCGTGCACATATATATGCAATCAACAAACGTATTAACATGATAACTTACTCCTTTTGAATATACTTTTGTACACATTCTTGTATTACACTTTATTTGAATTAAACTATTCGATTCTATTAAATATAGTTAATGATCTGACAATGATTAATTTTGTATGATAAATAGATGAGTTTAATTTTTAAGGATCATTTCAATTGTCAATTGTTATACATATATATACATATCAAAGAAATTGTTTTAAATTAAAATTGTAATAAATTTTAATGCATTAAAATTAATCATTAAGTAAAGCATATTTTATTTGTAGATAGTTCTATTTACAGATTTCCATAAGATGTGACACTTAGCAATTCCCTAGTCGTTATTTTAGAACACCTTAGTAATATGAACTTATGAGTTCACATGAGAGTGAACCAATCACCTTTTATTCATACAGTCAATATGATCAAATTTAGTCACTAAGTCGGATTTGAGGGATATAAAGGTTTATTTTCAAAAAGTCAGAAATATGTTATGTGGGTGGTGTTAGAAAGCTTCACTGATCCTGACTTCTATGTTAGCTGATATTAGTCACTATGGTCCATCTGAAATCTTGAAGGAATTAATGTCCTCTGCGAATCCTTAACTTTCATCATAGAGCTTCATAGTCTGAGACATTATTACTAAGTTATTAGGTCAGCTAGTTAGTTGTAAGCCAACAATATATCACAGTGCTCATCCAATATTCTCAGTAGGTAACTACTATCTCACTTCAAATTTGATTGACTTAAAGATGACAACCTTGAGCCTAGATAAATAGATGAATGTTTATTTCTTACGAATGAAATACTTGGCAACTGGCCCTTGGTATTTAATTATTCTTCAACAGATAACAGTTTTTATGAAGTAAATTGTCTTCGAAGTATTTATCTAAATGTGAAATATATATATATATATATATATATATATATATATATATCAAAATTCACGTTTGCAAATTTGTCCTATGCACATTTAGTTTTTGATTGAGATCATGAACTGATTGATGTTAGACCACCATTAAAAACCTGGAAACACTTGAACGGCTGTTTCTTCCTATTATGGGACCCCTCAACAGTGCTCATCTTCGATCCCGCTGACGGGTTTCGAACCCAGGGCCTTGAGTATTGCGCGCAAAAGCTTAACCTCTAGACCAATGAGTTGGCATCCAACGGCGTTAATGTCTAATTTCAACCAATACACGGATGTGCACTGTTGAGAAGTCCCACAATAGGGTGAAACAACCAACTGGTGCTTCCAGGTTTTCAATGGTGGTCTAACATCAATCAGTTCATGATGTCAATCGAAAACTTAATACAATCCACAACCCCTATACACTGACAATGCATATTAGACAAATGATAATCCTAACTACAAGTTTAACTAAATTTCACATAACATATTATATATCATTTCACTAAACCAGTTTTATACTCATTAGCATATTAAATAAATACTATTGTGACATTATCAAATAAGTAGTATATATACATAATAAATCCTACTCTCTATATACTTCATTTATCCATGTAATAAATTTAAGATTAATCGGTAAAATTATGTTATCTATGATGTTTGTTTGTTTTATGAATCCTTTCAACTATTTTAATTATTTTGAAAATTTTATTTCTTGTATTTATCAAATGTTTCTTATTATAATACATTGAACACTTTGATGATTATCTATTGACAAGGTGAAATTCATCAGAACTTATTTATCCAATGTATCATCATGACAATTTACGTTTATTTAAGTATTCATCTCTTTGTTGTTGTTGTTGTTGGTGGTGGTGGTGGTGTATCTTGATTGTTTTTTATCTTTTCTTAAGTTTAACAATTTCTTATTACATTTTTTTCTAAAAAAAAACACGAGATTTTCAGATAATTTGCTAAATAGATTTTGTTTAAATCATTGATTCATATCTATTTATACTACTCTTAGTTCTATTTAAATAGATATACCTACTTCGGTTTAGGCACCCGGGCAGTATCACAGCCCTCACACAAATTAAATGAGATTTTTTGTGGCGCATATGTATCTGGTGCCCCCTTGTACCAGTATTCATGTGTTCAAATACATAAATAAAAATAAAATTTAAATAAAGTGATATATTTTCTACTCCTAAATGCCCTGGTACAGCCAAGAGTGGAGAGAGTCCGCTCTCCTTCTCGAAATGCTTTCACATGGTCACGCTTATATAGCCTCTGCCAGGAAGTCCTACTCACTGCCTTCTCGTGGCGGGGGTGTTGTTTACGAAATTGAGAGGACGAAAAGTGAATGTCCGGCTCTTTAACCGGGTTGGTGGATATGGAGAGTCCACCTAGAGGAGTTAGAAAACCATGATTCCAAACCAATGTTACACATGGGCTACATGGTCCTAAGGGAACAAATGGCATATGAACCAACTGTTGGTCACTTGCTACCATGGGACTTCATCTCCTTACGATGCTCCACTGCCTTGTGGATCAGACCTTTAGGTCGAAGGCTCCAGGTGTGGCCCTCTAAGAAAACCACCTGCTTCGGTTTGGGCACCCGAGCAATATCCCAGCCCTTACACAAATCAAATGAAATTTGTGTGCCGCATATGTATTTGGTGCCTCCTTGTACCAATATCTATTTATTCAAATAATAAATAACAATAATATTGATTTTCTATTCACTTTCTAGATCTTAAGTGTTTATTTATACTTGATCTCTGTGGAATAGATGTTAAGCAAATTTAAAAAGCTTTAATTCAAGGTTTATTTATGCACAGAAAACAATAGTATTTATAAGTTTATCCATGACCTTTGAATTGTGGAGACATTTTAATCTAATTAGTAAAGTAGTTTACCAACCAAATAGAGTTTGACACATTATTCGTTAATTTTCTAGAAGTTTTCATAGTGTATGCTAGTTGAATGGAATGTTCACACTCATTTCTGGTTTCTAATAATATCATCTAGAAATTTTCATGGAATTCCAATAAAATATTGTATGAAAACAAAATAACGAAGCGAACGTGCTATAGTCTGTATTTATCTTTTTATAATGTATAATTCAATAATTGATCCATTAAAATACAATGTGTTTGGATTAATCACAGACTGTTATCACTAAGGATTCACCAAGATTTTGTGGTATTTAATTAATAGAATAATCTAATAAAGCAGTGTTGAAATTGTATCGCTACTTATAACCAAGAAGATAAGATTAATCGTCAGTGATTTTCCTTATCTTCACAATCTCAGCTGAATAAACCGCCCCTCATATATTTTGGGTTACTTGACAACAAAAAAGGAGGAGTACTAACTCTTATTGATGTAGATTACTAAATGACTAAGCATTACTAGAATTAACAGATATCTATCAGTAAATTCACTTGCATTTCATCCTTCTCGTATTTGTTTCTTCAGATAATTGAAGAATTTTAATGAAAAACATCTTAATTGCATCACAGACTGTGTAAATTAAGATGTCAGAAGTTATTTCATTAAGTAAATACGTTCATAGTTTGGATTGCAAATTAATATTGACTAAAAAACCACTAAGAACCAGGTAGCACTGAACAGCTGTTTCATCCTAGTGTGGGACCTCTCAGCAGTGTTCATTCCCTACCATACTCGGTATTGAGCTCAAGACCTTCTGTCTCACAGTAAGCCCTCAACCAATTAGTTCAGTAGTTTAGAGGTTGAGAGCTCGACGTTAGACCTGAAAACCTCGGATTTCATCTCTTGTTAGTGGTTGACATGTACTGCTGAGTAATCTTTTACTAGAACAAAACAGTTGTCTAGTACTTTCTAATTCTCGATAATTATCTAACTAAGATTAGTTCTTGATCAAAACTATGAACATTCACAAACTTATTATACTAATAAGTAAGTATTGTTTTCAATAAAAATAATAGTAATAATATTAATATGCTTTAAAAATTTATATTTGTGATCTTTTCTGTTTTACTAGGGAACCTAACAATCATGAAGCTGCAGCTTTTATTGTCGCATATTTCTCTATTTTAAGTGGATTACCTGTAAAATTAACTCGTAAAGCTGTTATGAAATGTAGAGAGAAATTAGATATTACTAATGAATATGACGTAAGCTAACATATTTATAGAATTTCATACATTTATGATGTAACATTTATATATACTAAACAGTACTGTAAAATTTGTAGTGTTTTAAATGTCTCTGTGAGATGGTAGAGAAGATTTGTAGCTCAGGTGGATGATTTTAATGGAGTTTTGTTCTCTGTACTGGATGGTTTGGTCCATCCAGCTCAAATAACAAAACTCCATCAAAATGTCTATGTATCTATTCTTGATTTGGAGCCACATAAAACATAATAAATCTATGAATATATGTAAATTTCAAAGAAATTCAATAAAGACAGAGGTTAATAAAAAGCTAATTAATACTAAGTCATTACAAATGATTGTTTAATATTAATTAACCTAAACTTACAAATGAAAACTGATTGAATGATTTATGTTGATTAGTTCAAGAATAAAATAAATTATCCAATAGGATTATTATCCCTGAATATGGAGTAGTACAAATCAAAATTGGGAATCGAAAAATGTTTTCGTTATTTCTATCATCCTCTTCAATCATTGAATATACTGATGATCGATTAATCAATTACTTATCCTTAGTAAATTATGGTATTAACTAATATATTAGTGTTGTATAAATAGCATAACTTCCTAATTGTAATTTACAGGTAACTCTGGTGGAAAAAGAAATAGGCCTATGAATAGAAATTATGATAATTAATCCATTGTCTTTAGTGAATCAATTTACAGTGAATATACAATATTCTTGATAATTTCTTATCGAACAAACGATGCTTTTTTTCAAAGATCACTTAAAAACTTGCTTGATACTAATTGTTTTTTTACGATTCTGTATGTGGGGTCTTGAACTTCAACCTTAAGTTCGATCACAATAACAAATTCTTAGTAGAAGATTTGGAGTATTGCAATAAAATAGTTAACTTTTTCAGTTTTTAATTTGTGAATACTTAAAAACAATATGCATCAGAAGGTTTTTAGGAATGATTAACTACTATTTATGTTCATCCGTAATTGTTTATAGCGAATCTTGTTACTATGGAATCTTTCCATAGGTGATTAATTTAATGTAAACATTTTGTAGGAATCCTCTCTTGTTCCTTCAAACAACAAATAAAAAAGAGGAAAATAAATAAACCACTGAAATGATACTTCTTGAGTTTTTTCCAGTAATTAGATTCGCGATAGGTTATAAACGTGTTATGACGCCAAATAACTATATGTAGTTAGCAAACATACAGCTTTCACGTGAAATATGATTAAAATTTGCTGAGAAAAGTCAGTAAATATAATGATGTGCTATGGATCGAATGAATGTTCAGTATTTGATGATAACTTACAGGAATATGTTATCATTTCAATCATATCCTACCGATGATGTCAATGATAACAAAGACGAATTTAACTTGTAAGTAATTGTCAACATTGAGTTAATTCTCTCTAAAGATATACATATACCAAAAGAGATTGACCAATTACAATCATTAATATCAACAGTAAGGTAACTCAAACACTTATAGATAATTTAACATGCGTTAAGCAAGTTTGTTGCAATCTGAACTTAGTTTCTCAGTAGATGATGAGTTGGCTTTCGAAGTGACAGAAACTGGGTTTGAATCAGATCATCACGAATACATGTACATCTATCTGACGAATTATAAATACGACAAAACGTCCTCCCTCGACTTCACTGCTAGACACTATACAACCTAACTTAAACCTGTGATTTAGTGGTATTTCAAGGCACTCACCCAGGATATACATCTTTCATTAGGAACGGATCAATTCCAGTCCTTATTAGTTAATAATATGGAAATACAAACCCGTAAAGTCACTAAGTTAATTGTATCCTAGAATCCTTGCTAAAATAAATTGTTTTTAAGGTAATTCTTCAGGTAATAATTTATCACTGACTTACATAATGTGCAAGTGAATTGGAATCGTTATATTACTGAAATTTTACATACTATTGAGATTCCTTACTATCGGTTGTTTGAATATCCCCACTGATGTTTAGGACTGAAATTAATCAGTCTCTTTCTTGGTATATATGAATACTGTGGGAATTGACTCGATATCCCTATTGAGTCATTAGCATTTTTAAGCAAGTTGTATTTTAGTTAACACTGGAATCCAGGACACGTGTTTCTTCCTATTAGAGACTTAACGGCTGTTTGAAACGGCCATGTAGTGCTCCCAGGTTTTCAACAGTTTTCTAACTTAGATTAATTCATAATTTCAATGAAGCTCAACAATCTTCGCAACCGTATACTAACAGATTTGTCTTACTTCCTTTTTATTAATAGCCTTTAATTGAATCAATGCAAAATTCGACTACAGCAAAAGAATTACGTAATGATTTATTCAAAGGTACATCTGGTTATACAGAAGATAGATTAATTGAAGATTTACGAAAAATTTATCAATTAGCTGAATTAGATCCACCAACATCATCAGAAATTTATTTAGAAACAAGACGTGAATCAACGACACAAAATTCATCTAATCCAATTTTGAAACGTTTATCCATTGATAAAAGTAAACAAGAATCAACTAATCAAACAAATATTAGTTCATCTAATCTACGTGATAAAACACCAGAACTAGTTGTCCATGAATATGATAATAACAATATTAAACAAGATCAACTGATGAATACTTCAATAAATTCTTCAATGATTACACCTCATCATTCAACTGATCATAATAATTCTGTATTAAATGATGCTAAACATGATCTACATCAAATTGACCAAATTAATAATAATACAATTCAAAATGGTACTAAACAAACTTCATATAATCATGATAAAGAGATTAAAACAAAATTACCAGATCCATTATATAATACCGATATGATTACTAACAATAAAATAAATTCTCAATCATTCATTAATAAGCATGAAATTCATCATTCTAATAGTATGAATAAATTAAAAACTACTAAAGTAACAATTATTTATGCTCTATCACATGAATCTACAGAAGCTGATGCTGTGGAACAATATTTAAATAGTACTAGTGCAGATGAACGTGATAGATTACGTAAACGTGTAATAATTACACATGCTTATTCAAAAGTTGACAATTCTATGGATTATATATAGAGAATTGATAATTCAATTAATCCATTGAACATTGAAAATAACATACTACATATCATCATACGTAATTTTTCTTTTAAAAGAAACGCTCTTTTTTTTCTTTTTCTTTTTTTTTATAAACAAAAACAATCTATATATGATTAGTGTCGTTAATATTTATGATAGAAAATTTGTCTTCATTTCTTGTTATGAACTAATTCAGTTTCTATATCTTTTCATATTTATTATTATTATTATTATCACTATGACGATTATGATTGACGACAAGTTTTTTTTTTAAAAAAAGAAAAGAAACAAGTACTTCTATTGATCAATACAAATTTGTTTAAATCGTTCAAATGTTTTATGTTACATTTTTTTTTAAAAAAAAGAAAAGAAAACGCAACATCCATATTTGGAAAGTTTGTTTGCTTGTTTTTGTTAAAAATGATAATTAGTACCCAAAAAAATGTGAACTTATTTTTCAAAGTTAACACTATGGTTACTTTTTAAAAGAAAACCTTATGAATGACATGAATATTTATTAAGCATAGATTGATGTTTTCTTTTTTCTTTTTCTCTCTCATGAAATAGTATATTATAGTGACTTGTTTTAATTCACTTACTTTATCTCTATGATTACATAAGTATAGTCATATTTCTTAAATAGGTATTAGATGTTAAAGAAATTCAGAGAGTTATTTTATCTTATCATAATTATAACATTTAAGATATCTAGATTTGATTGATGATTAATGATGATTGATGAATAACAACTGGAAAGAGCTGGAAAAGATTGCCCAAGACAGGGTTAGATGGAGAATGCTGGTGAACAGCCTATGTTCCTTCACGAGGAGTCACAGGTGTAAGTAAGTAAGATTTGATTGTGTTGGATGATTGGTCAATAATTGGCAATAAGCAATGTGAATTAATGTTGTGCTATTTGATGTTTCAATAGTTGAAATCATGAGTTAATTGAAGCTAGACCACCATAGAAAACCTGAGAGCACTGGACGGCTGTCTCGTCCTAGTATGGGACTTCTCAGCAGTACGCATCCACGATACCGACCCCACGGGATTCGAGCTCAGGACCTATCAGTCTCGCGCGTGAGTGCTTAACCACTAGACCATTGAGCTGGCCGGCATCCCACGGTGTTAATGTCTAACTACAACCAATCCATGGAATTGCGTCACCGTACACCATTGTCTTCAATGAGTTGATATCCCCTTCTAATATTTGATATTTATCAATGTTATAGTTATATCTTCTTTTTACTATTCTTTGGATTTTGTTGATCAAGTTGTAAAATGATCATTAATTTCTAAAGATCGATATCATTTGAAATAGGTTTTTGTCAGTAGAATTCTATCCATATTGACGAACAGAAAAATGCACAATAATTTGCTTTTCATTAGTCATCAGTCTATTCGATCATGTGAGCAGTCGATATTGGAATGAAATATACGTTATTAACTTTAGAAATACATAAAAATTTCCGCAAAGTCAGAAAAACTATTTGGTGTTAGCATAGTGGTTTATAAAGATTAATGGATGTTATTGGTATCACCAAAGTTTGATATTCATTGAATAGTTATTTTATCATAATATAGGATTCATCAGAAGCGCTCTCCACGGCCTCACTGGGAATTGAACCCAGTTGCTCAACAAAGACACGAGATGGTCGTGAATTCATCGAAGTTACGTATTCTTATCTTCACATCGCTGATTATTTATACATGAAACACGAGGAGTCACTACAATTCCAATGACGTGAATTAAGAACACGAAAAACATGCACAAGTGAAGATTTATTCACCCCGAAAACACAACGACGACCCTAGTCGAAAATATACTCATAATTCATTTTGTATCGTTAGTTTAAATCTTCCCATTGATGTTTAGAACTGCAATTGATTAGTCTCTTATTGGTATATGTGCATTCTGTGAGGATTACCTCGATATTGCCTTAAATCACTAACATTATAAACAAGGATGAATAGTAGCTAATAGTGGAATGCAGGACTCGTGTTTCGTCTTATTTGGGACTTATCAGCTGAATGCACATGTATTTCAGAGTTGATATTCACTCCACCTGACTATTAATTAGGGAAAAGTCACATATATAAAATCACAACAAAATTTCATGTTGCATTGCATGATGAACATAATTCACATTAATTTAATATAAAGATTATTGTATCTTCAATAAACATCAAACTCAAATAAATTGGTGTTATTGATGAGTAAAATAGCACACTGATATTAAAACAAATATTACACAGAGTAATCAACAAACTGAATTAAAAACTTAAGTAATGTTGAACCAAAAGCCATATTGAGTTAAAAAATTGTTTTCTTTTACATTTTCAACCCGTCATATCAGATATATATACTTGTGTGTACCGCTCCAGTAGTCTAAATCTTAAGAGTTTACCATAAGAGACCGAAGGCTTTGGGCTCGAGCCCCGGTAGGTGCGCACATTAGGGGAGTTCCATGTCAGGAAGAAATAGCTCTCTAATATCCTCTGTTTTTTAATAGGTTTTTTAATTTAGTTCAGTTTCCGAAATCGATAACATTCAATTATTTGGTGTTTTTGAAAGTCACATCTCCTTCTATTTCTGAAAGTCTTCAGGAATAACCAAGAAATTATTTCGATAAAATGTTATTTTAACATGAGTCACGGTAAAATAACTAGGATAAAAAATAACTGTGAGATGTTTCGAGCCTCTTTATAAATATCAACATTGAATTACAGGTAAATTCAGCCAAAATGTTCCAAATAGGACAAAACACACTTACTGAACTCTACTGTAAGCTACTATTCAACCTCTTGACTAAATGACAGTATCAAGGCAATCTACGCAAGATGTATTTAAGCAAAAATTGGCTGATCAGTTACGGTTCTTAACACTAATCACGAGAAAATAAAAATCCTTACAACTGTAGTAAAATGTTTATATTTTTACATTTATACAATAATTAAGGGTTAAGTTAAATTTTTAAATTAGGTTGGATACGTCACTTCATCTAACTGAACACCGGATCGGTACCATACCTAGGACTAGTCTTTTCTCATTGTATTCACTGTTTATTCTTGTATACTTTAACTAACTGATTTTCTGATAAATTTAATATCACTATTCCATTGAGTAATGATAATACAACCCTATAATAACAAGTTACAATGGTATGGACATCATGAAGTGAGAATTTGTTATATATATTTAAATGGTAAACTCAATCCAAACAACTCATTCTAGATAATAATGTTATATCGTTTTCAGTTGTAAAACAATGAACCACACATTTTTTTTTTAAATGGTAAAGTGTTCTTTATAAGGCATGAAGATAATCAATTTTATATGGTAGTTATAACGTTAAAGATGTGCACGTCAGACTGGCCTTACAACTAACATAAAAAAGTATACCTTTTTACATATCACTTAGTTTTCATTTTATTCTTATCATTAGCAAACATATTTTATTGGCTTAAGTAAGAATAATTAATGAAGCAGAATAACATGAATTCTTTATATTTCGCGGTTCTTTATCAGTTACTTACAACTTAAATATAAGTAGTATTAATCATTAAAAATCAGTGTACATACTTTATAACATAATTCATAACTCTTCTGATATTATGTCGAAAAGTATGTACATTGATCTTTGAAGATTAAGTTGTAAGCAGCTGATGAGAAACCACGAAATATAAAGAATACATATTATCCCGCTTCAATAATTATTCTTGCTTTAGTAAAATTTATGAATGGGAAAAATTATATGAAATTTCAAATTCACATGGTATCGTTTACTTGGATCTTTCTATTGATATTTAGGACTGCAATTGATCAGTCTCTTATTGACGTATGTGCATACTGTGCGTATTACCTTAATTCACATGCATTATAAACAAAGATGGATAGTGGCTAGCAGTGGAATCCAGGATGCGCGTTTCTTCCTATTTAAGACACGTTGGCTGGATATACTTGCATACCAGAGTTGATGTTCACTCCAGGGCTCGAAATCAGTACCGTTCGCTCCAAACGCCATCGCGTTATCCACTTATTGACTGAGTCCTGACAGCCACTCGCTTGTACGATGGGGTGTGAGTGGTTATCAGGATTCAATATCTAGGTAGATATACGCGATGGCATTCGAAGCGAACGGTACTAGGTTCGAGTCCCAGAGTTGACATCCGCTCTGAGATGCAGGTACATCCAACCAACAAGTCCTAAATAAGAAGAAACCTACGTGCTGGATCCCACTGCTAGCCACCATTCATCTTTGCTTATATGAAATTTTATTGTAACTCTATTTACTGTCGATAAACAGGGTTCTTTTGACAAACATATTTGCTCATAACGAATTTAGATTGTATGGTTTAAACAGCTATAACACAGTGTCATAATTCTTTCCATTTTCTATCTACAATGCCACCTAATAAAATATGTATTAGTAGTCGTGGAGAATAAAATTTGATTATAAGTAAGAAGATAGAATTTGTGCAGATTGTTGAATATGCATAGTTTTTACCACGGACTGATCTTAACCAGACAATCATTAGAAACCAGGTAGCACTGAATAGTTAGTTCAATGTAAGCTATGGAAATTCTAATATCTTCACAAAATATTCCGTACTAATATTAATCATCTACTTACTAGTAAGACCGAATTCCTGGAGTTCTAGTGAGAAGCCATGACTAGTGGAGCTCAACCATTTCTAATGCAAGGCAGTTATTCTTCTCAAGATAATGAAAGATCATTTGGCAATATTGTAAACTGATTAACGCTAGACATTTACATCATTGTATTCCAAAACAGTAGTCTAAATTCTAAGCACTAACCCTAGAAACTGAAGGTTTTTTATTCGATCTCTTATGGGATCGTGAATAAGTACTGCTAGGGAGTCTTAAACGAGAACGATTGTTAAGTAATTGAATTGTTTTCTTATCTATATGAAACAAGAAATTTACTAGTTTACATATGAATAGTTTTCAATTGAACTCTCTACTTTTAGTATACTCTCAACTAAAAAAAAGGTTAATAGATTTTATCTGTAAAGCATCAATAATCATCTTACACTGTTTAAATTCATTTCTTATAGAGAGAGAAATGGTCATTTAAATAAAACCATATTTCACATTTCTCATTTGTTTCAATTCACATATACTTTTTTATTGTATCAATGATAAAAATAGTGAAGAAAAAAAGCACAAAGAGTAACATTTAAGTCTTGTTACAATTGATTGATTCATTGAATAAGGAATGTGTTAGTTACTAATCTGTGTTGTTAATAATATGAGTTGAATAAAATATAAAGTATATAGATCAATTATATAACATTTTTTCAAATATCGATGATTTATTTTCAGAATTGGGGGGGGGGTGTATAGAGATTTTAGTCATTTAATAATTGAGTTCATGAGTTAATTAAAGTTAGATCATAATGAAAAGCCTGAAAGTATTGGATGGTCATTTTGTCCTAGTATGAGACTCCTCAGTAGTGTATATCCATGATCTCGTCCATGGGATTCGAATTCAGAACCTATT